AGGCAACTTGGGGACAGAAGATAGGAAAATGCTAGAAAAGGGGTGGTTGGAGCAGCTCCGCTGCTTGGGGTGAAGCCTGATGTAGGGCTAAAATGAGCTCTTCCCATTTACTCCCCATGCTCTGAAAATAAAGCCCAAGCCATATTCTGTAGCCAGGGAAATGTGCAATAAGGAAAGCGCCTTCTCCCTGCACAGAGATCAATATTCCTACCCAGGCAGGGAAATATATGGAGAAGGTATTTTTTTTTTTATTAGCAGCGGTGATTTTCTTCTTTAAAAAAAAAAAAAAGAGAAAACTGGTGGGGAAAAGTTGCAATCTTAATTTCTTTCCTAGTTCAGTTAATTAGAAGTACCCAGGGGTGACTTCTTATAGCAAAACCATAAACCAAAGTACTTTATTCAGTATTATGGGATTTATTAATTTACTAAGTGTTCTCCCTGCTGCCGCTGGCTGGAGTCAGCTACTGGAAAGGCCAAGGAATGGTTGAGCCGAGGGTTGAGCATTCCCCCTGGGAGCTCCTTGGCTGGAGCACATCTGAGCAGAGCTCTGGCTTTTGAAGGGTGCTTTGCTCTGCCGGGGCCACATCTCCCTCCCTCGCCCAGGCTGTTCAGCCAACAACTTTCCCCCCAACATGAATCACAATTTCTAAAAGCAGAAATAAGGCGCAGAATTTGCACCCGCAGTGAAGTTTGGAGGGTTTTATGCCATGGGGAGTTCTTGCCCAGGGCGGTGCTGAGTTACCCTTCACGGAGCTGCAGGTCGGGCTGAGGTTAGTTGGTTTGGGTGAGTATCGAGGCAAAATCACCCTCCTCATGCCCACCGCCCGTAGGAGCCACAAAGCCTTTCACCTGCCCCAAATTCCTCTGGCCCCTGTGCTGAGGACTATTTTAGCAGGTGGAAGAAACCCTGGCTGTGGAAGGACCAAAACCTTGTTTGCCCCAGGTGGTGCCCATTGCTCTGCAGCTCAGGACTTGCCCTGATGAAGACGCTACCCGATGCCGAGCAGTCGCTGTGTCTCTTTTTCCAAGGGGTTTTTGTGAGGAGTTAGATGATAAATAAGTTGTTTTTTTCTTTTTTTCCCCCCAGAGGAAGATTTATTAACTCCTTAAAGAGCTGTAACGGCTCTGATGTCTGTCTCTGGGTGCTTTGGAATATCACTGCTGCGGAGGACGATGTGTGCCTGGAGATGGATGCCTCTCGCCCTGCAATGCTTTATAGGGCAAGTAGGTGCTCACCATAGTTGCAGCCTTTTTGTTTCATAGAATCATAGAATCACTTTGGTTGGAAAAGACCTTTAAGATCATTGAGTCCAACCTTTAACCTAACCCTGCCATCCCACCACTAAACCCTGTCCCCAAGCACCTCATCTATCCTTCTTTTAAATACCCCCAGGGATGGGGACTCGACCACCTCCCTGGGCAGCCCCTTCCAGTGCCTGACAGCCCTTTCAGTGAAGAATTTTTTCCTAATGTCTAGCCTAAACCAGCCCTGAATGTTTCAATGAAGAGGATCTCCAAAAGCAGCTGGTGCTGGTGCAGAGGTGCTCAGGAGAGGGACTCAGATTGGCACCAAAGCAGGCACCGCCAGAAAAACTCCGATTTGCTTTCCCACTCATTTCCCTGTGCTTCCCTTCAGGTCTTTTAGTGGATATTTATGCATAAACAAATGTCTCCTTCCTTCAACAGGGAGAACCTCCTTCAGACAGATCCCGAGCTGTGGCCCTGGTTGCGCCTTCGTGTTTCCATGTGCGTCTCTGCGGTGGCAGAGCTTCATGGCTGTGACTTTGCAGAATCAGCTGGTAATTCCCAGCCCTGATCTGCACCCCCCCAAGCCCTGCCCAGGGCTGTCTGAAGGACCAGCTCTTACTGCCTGGCCTTCTCCTGCGTTCAGGAGAACCTCAAGCGGAGATGTGAGGGATGGGGGGTTGCGGGAGGGAGAAGTGTCTCAGCTTCATGGTGGCAAAAGGCTGGTGAGGTGGTGAGGGTGGAAGAAGGGAGAGAAAGGGGAAGGTGGACCTGAGGCTGCAGCATCAGCCCCTAACCCAAGGGTCATGGTGCTGTGCGAGGAACAGGGATGGACACGAAGAAAGCAGAGCATGCGCTGTGTGATGCCAGGGGGTGTTTGTTGGGGGTTTTTTGGGGCTGGGGATGTGATGTGACAGGATCTGTAGCCCCTCCTTGCCATGGCTGAGCTGATGCACATCTGTTTTGAGTGGCCCACAGTGGCTGCATCCACTGGCCCTCTTGCC